AGTGGCTTCCAAATGAATTAAGGTTTTGTCAATGACATTGCTCATATGTTACTTTGTTTAAATGTGTATACATGTTTTTGTTTAAATGTACTTTAATCACTCAAATCATTCTAATCATTTACTGTGCTTTATTTTGTAATATTGTTCAAATTTTGGGCACCATGATTGATTAATAAATTATCTTATCCTATCTTATCTATGGTTTAGTTATAATCGGCAGAAGGGATTTTTAAAAAGCGTGTTAGACATTTATAAACTACGGTACATCCTCTAACCCGTTATTCATGACCGAATGCCACAGTTTGTTGATTTTCTAACCCATATTCATGACCGAATGTCACAGTTTGTTGATTCTCTAACCAATATTCATGACCGAATGTCACGGTTTGCTAATTCTATAACCCGCATGCATGACCGAATGCCACAGTTTGTTATTCTAACCCATATTCATGACCGAATTTCACAGTTTGTTAATTTTCTAACCCGTATTCATGATCGAATGTCACAGTTTGTTAATTCTTTAACCCGTATTCATGACCGAATGTCACAGTTTGTTAATTCTCTAACCAGTATTCATGACCGAATGTCACAGTTTATGAATTACCTTACCCGTATTCATGACCGAATGTCATAGTTTGTTAATTCTGTAACCAGCATGCATGACCGAATGTCACAGTTTGTTAATTCTCTAACCCGTATTCATGACCGAATGTCACAGTTTGTTAATTCTCTAACCCGTATTCATGACAGAATGTCATAGTTTGTTAATTATCTAACCCGTATTTGTATTCGTGACCGAATGTCATAGTTTGTTAATTCTCTAACCCGTATTCATGACCGAATGTCACGGCATAGTTTGTTAATTCTGTAACCCGTATTCATGACCGAATGTCACAGTTTGTTAATCTCTAATCCGTATTCATGACCGAATGTCGTAGTTTGTTAATTCTCTAACCCGTATTCATGACCATTATCATAATTTGAATTGAAAACAATTTTCAGTTGAAAGAATTGGCAAGAACATTCTAAATAGAAACAGCTAAAAGAATTATTTATATGGACTCCAAACAATAAGTGATGAAAAGAAATACACATAACAAATACTATCGTGTTGCAGTCTACATTATAGTACAAATCTACGTCTTCAATAATTGGAGAGGGGGGTTACAACATACCATTGTTTTGCAGCGGCAGTCCAAATTTTCAGTCCTTCATCCCTTTCGTCCCACCTTGCAGATCCTACCTTTTATTCTAATTGTTTATAGTTTCTATAGTTAATAGTTAATATTAATAGTAAATAGTTAGTACCAATCAATCAACCAATACTGGATCGGGTCAGGAAGTTCTGACATACTCTAAAAACTACGTATCTTGTTTTGAGGATAAAAATATTAAAAAATTTGAATAAAAATAGATTCCAATTTCAATAACAATAACAATTCGCACATCTAAGCGCTAGAGACTTTAGAACAATACAAAATATATTTAACTTACAATATTTTTTAAAACTCACCTTGCAATAATCCATCCCTTTAGTTTGAAGAAAACGACTTTGCACTTTATTCAGCTTATATCATTTACATAAATAGACCTATGATAACTTATGTATGATTATTTGTAAACACGACTGTTATATTCGGGTAGAGTATTCACATATATTATCCTTATCACACTGGACATTGAATTGTTTACAAATAATTTGATAATAATAAATATCGGTATATTTATAGGTATGACTCTTATGAAGTACTTCTTGTTGTTTTTGTCACTGTCTTTCTATTCAATCTACAACTTTGCTAAAAAAACTTCAAATGGTTTGCACGCGTAACTTCAGAGCTTGATTACCTTCCACAACCAGGGATCAAATCGAGACCTTGGCACAATGAGCTACAGAGCGCGGCTACTAATCTTTTATGACATAGCAAAGCCTCTTTTCAAATGTATGTCTAACATGTTCAGTGTTACTATTTGTCTATCAAATTTGTCAAGATTGCAAATCAATGATCTACAATTTATTTTCGGTCACCGATATTACATATGCAAATGATCATAAAGTGACATGAATACTTTTATTGGGTTTGTTTGTTAGCATTAACAATTTAAATATCTAGAATCGGTTTGCATAACGCGGTGCAGTCACAAATTAGCATGCAATAAACGAACATTTGAACAAAATAAATTAAAGAAAACCACAACAGAAGGGGATCATATACGATTATAAAAACATAATGTTTTTTAATTAGGGAAAAAATATAAATCTATGTTTGCCGGGGACACCGCAAACATAATTATACTACAAAAAGTCAGATGGGGATAATGTTATCTACACGTATTGTTAAAATACTTAACACGCTTTTGTTCATGTGTTCTTTTGCTTTTTGTGTTAATCTGATGAGTCAACCATTTTTTAACTTTTTTTTTTTATAGATTGTCCTTATGTTATGCTGTTACACCACTGACCCAGATTAGGGAGGTAGGGCGCCCGCCAACATCGTTTAACCCCGTAACATTGTGTATGTGCCTGTCGTAAGTCAAAAGCCTGTAATTCAATGGTTGTCGTTTTTTGCTGTATACTAGCATTGTGTATGTGCCTGTCGTAAGTCAAAAGCCTGTAATTCAATGGTTGTCGTTTTTTGCTGTATACTAGCATCATGTTTGTTTTTCGATTGTTGTTTTGTACATGAATCAGGCCGTTTGTTTTCTGGTTTGAATTATTTTACATTTGTCATGTCGCAGTCTTTTATAGATGGCTATGTGATTTGGGTTTTGCTCATTGTTGAAGGCCGTACGGTGACATATAGTTGCTAACTTCTACGTCATTTAGTTGTATCATTGGCAATCGTACCACATATTCTTACTTTTATATTATGAAGTTCAGTCGTAAAAATGAAATTCGAAAATTATACAGGTGCAGTTTGTCCAAATCAAATAATGGATATATACTTCATCGCCAAAAAAGGACATTAATATTATCAAGAAAAGAAGACTGATATAGACACGTCTTGGCATTGACCAATCAATATATTTTTTGTAAGTATTACCATTGAAAATTTGAATTATATCGAGAAAATAAAAACCATTTCATACGGTATTTCTATTGATCAAGATTATAAGCGGTAATGTCATTACTGCCAACGATGACACACACACACACATAGGCACGTGCCAATACATAAATTTGCTAGTTTTATACCTCTTTAAAATAAAAAAGAAAGAACTTTGTGTAAGAAATATGATGTCAACTGTACAGGAAATTGAGTTCAAATTTGATTATTCGGCTAAAAGCTTGACTGCTTTCACAGAAGAACTCTCCGAAAATGAAAATGGTCAAGAACGTTTAGAACGCCGAACAAAGTTAAGAACGCTGTTTGAGACTCGTTGGTCAAGCCGTGCAGATTCTCTGTTTACATTTCGAACAGCATTTGCAGTAAATTGTTGTCTTTGTCCTGAATTCCTTGATAGTCGACAATGATGACAAAGCAGCACAGAGTATAAATGCGATTCTTCGATTCGAATTTATCATAAGTCTTGTTGTTGCAGAACACATATTAAGCTCAACAGTCGCCTTGACAAATTATTTACAGAAACCCGATATTGATTTGATAGACTGAGCTTTGACAGAAGCTAAAATTGTCATTCCAAGGCTTTCGGATGAAAGAGGTGATGATACAGTTTGAGAGTCTTTGTTTGCAAGAGCAACAGATATGGCAGCAGAACACGACATTCAGCTATCAGTTCCTCATATCGCTGGACGTCAACGACACAGACCTAACCACCCAATTCGTGACCCGTCAGTTTATTGGAGAGTTTCGTTGTACTTCGTATTTCTCGACCACTTGGTTGCTGAAATTACAAAGCGCTTAATTAGCAACGAGGAACGTTTCTTTGCAACTTACTTCATTCCAGCCAAGAAAGGGAACTTGACTCCTGAAATAACAGACAAAATCTACAGCATTTACCGTTCGGATTTAGGTGAAAAAAGAGAATTTGACGATGAGGTCGCTCGATGGAAAGCCCGTTGGCGTATTGAAGACAACAGGCCAGATAGACTTCGTGGTATCCTTAATGTCACGAACGCCGATTTTTACCCTTCGGTGTTTAGGATTATTTGGATATTATTGACAATGCCCGTTTCATCGGCAACCAGTGAAAGATCCTTCAGCGCGATGCGACGCGTAAAGTCCTGTCTGAAAACGACAATGGGAGACGAGAGACTTTCTAATCTATCTCTTCTTCATATCCACCGACACCTCAATGGTGATGTTGATGTGAGTATAATCGATTTTGTTAGAAGAAAAAACCGTCGACTGGACTTTGAATAAGTGTATCATTGACTTTGTGTATGAAACTGGACCTGAAAATTATTTATAAAAAGTTCAGAAATTTTTGATTATTTAAGTATAACCAATTTTTGCCAAATGAGTTCAAAAATTCCGTTCGAAAAAGTTAAAAATCGTTTTTCTTGATCCTCTGGGGCCTTAAGCTTATTTTCTGCATAAAATAGTCCAAAAAAATTTTCGCCTCGCTACGCTCGGTGAAATGTGCCTACCCTAGATACTATTCTAGCTACGCCCCTGGTTATTGCTAGCAAACTAATTTTATTTCAGAATTTTACAACATTCTTTTGAAAAACACATGCAACCATATTTATTACGTAGAAGTTAACAATTATATGTCACCGTACGGCCTTCAACAATGAGCAAAACCTCGCACTTTTGTTGCGGGTAAATACTGGTATAAGAAAACGATTTGAGTTACATTTCAAATTTCAGATCTTTCTCTGTTTGAAATCGTGTAAATATACAAGAAAGGAGAATAAGCAAGTTGAACTGCCAAAGCTCAATGCAAATCAATATCCAGCCGATAACGAGTCTACAAGGAATTAAATGTTGCTTCAGAAAAAAAAATATGATCACTTTGTTTTGGTTACAAAATGTGACTTGTGTAATCTTACATGAAGATTTCTTATCTTAACACGAAGCTAATATGTGCCTTTAGTGATAAATGGTGTTTACAAACGGACTTTATATATATAGCTTTTAAAGGTGAGTACAAATTATAGAACCAAAACAAAATCAAAAGTTAAAAATATCAACACAAGCGTAGACTGTGAAGCTAAAGAATTAAGCTTGTAATCACTAAGAGAACTGAAACAAAGATTTGTCAAAGTTGACTATAAACTCATTGGTTTTCACATGTGCAGACTGAATATTAATTATCTTTAAATTTCAAATCGTCCTACACTAAAGAAATATCAATTGGGCAGAGTTCTGCTCAAAGCGAGTCACAGGCCATCTTAAACTTCCAATGAGCTGAAAACTTGTGCCATGTTGAATGCTGCACTGTGACTTTGAGACAAAGTCGTTGGTTCTTTTCTTTAGATTTTGACAGGTATTTCTCTGGATTTTGTGTTATTAATTGATACACAATATCTCTTCTTTTACTTTGAACTTTTTTAAGTTTAAATCGGCATTGACTGTATAAACACAAGATAATATATTTATGAAATCGAATTTCAATAATATACCGTGACAACTTTGTATACTTAATGAAGGAATCTGGGAGAAAATGCGACAGCTTCTTTTTGTACCATCTTTACATCATAGTTTGAACAAAACTTTCAAATAAATAAATCAAGGTAAATATCTATATTTTTCAATTAAATCATATGAGGAAACTTCATTAAACTTGTTAGGAGTGACTGTGTGGTTTCTGGTTTTTGCTTTTGGCTTTAGCGACATAATCATGTCAACAAACAACTGTGGCTAATGTATCTTAACTTGCTGTTTGTAATAACAATAACATCTGACCCTGCTTTCTAAATTAATTGCCGTCATTTTTATTAAATTGTTCAAATTTGTAGTCGTCCTGCTTTTGATTAAATTGTGCAGGTTTATATTTTGTGTATTACCTTTGCAACATATTATGTAGAAAGGCAAACGGAGGAGATTAGTGCGGACTTATAGCATCACATTGCGTGTCGTTATCAAGCTAGGCTACTGTGGATTCATTATTATTCGTTGTATACCAATTTTCGTGGATTTCGTGGGAACAGTTCAACCACGAAATTCAATGTTCAACGAATACCAAATGTTCAATGGGCTTGTAGGCATACTTCGGCAAAACCACGAAATCAAATATCCACGAACATGCAAGTTTTCAACAATCTACGAAAATTGGTACCCACGAAAATAAATGAATCCACCAGACTAGACCATGTGTTGTTTGTTTTTATGCATCTATTTGTGAGAAGGAGTCGGTTGGTGTTGTCTGTTGTGCTGTCCAATACATTCGGAACTTCATGTTGTGTTGTCCAATACATTCGGAACTTCATGTTGTGTTGTCCAATACATTCGGAACTTCATGTTGTGGTGTCCAATACATTCGGAAATTAATGTTGTGCTGTCCAATACATTCGGAAATTCATGTTGTGTTGTCCAATACATTCGGAAATTCATGTTGTGCTTTTAATGTATTATATGTTTCTGTAATCATAATACACTATACTTTGCTTTCATCCAGTCAAGAGATTATTACTTTTATACAGTTAACCAAATATAAACACGTCCTAAGGAAAACACATTTCTGTTAATCATTTTTTGCTGAAACAAAGATAAACTTCAAATCTTTTCAATTATATCTTAAATGTATACACCTCAAATTGAATGCACAAAAATCTTTTCTTTTTCATGCTAATCAAAGATGAAGTGGTACACTTGGTGGGTACTAGTTGCGTGTTGCATAGCAGTAAATAGCACACAGAAAATTGCCATCGAAGGTATGTATTATTATCAAGAAATATGTTACTACTTATGACGGACGGGTTATAAGTATGTATTTTAAAATTTTAAACGGAACCCATGGACTATACATCAGCAAAGTCAAGTTTACCATTAAATTTTATTCCGTCTCTTTTGCTGTATTATATTAATCCATTATGGTATTGTTTGATTTCGAATAATCTTTACAATAATTTTCATATTGTTTGCTCCTTCGTAACTTCTATTTTCTTTTTTGTGTTGTTCCATCTACCTTGAAATGATACATCATATCATCAAAACTATTTTATTCTTAAATGCCATAATCATTTCTACGACCATTAATCAATCTTGCTGAAAATATTAACAATAGACTGTTGTATTAGTATATTCAGCATTCTGTTAATACTTTTTGTTTCTTCAGATAGAATATTTCCATTAAAATGCAATAACATACAGCATTTTTTGACAATATTAAATTTTAAAATTGTCTGCTTTGTTATGTTTAAAAGCATTTTAGTGCCAGGATGCAGATAAAAGTATTTTTAGATCTCAAATAATTTTTTTTGAACTTTGCCTCCTAAATTCATTGGAAATTATTTTCATTATTTGTTAAACATATCTAACAATCAGGTATTTTTGGAATCACAAGGGGTAATTACCGGTGCATGGAACTTTATTGGACGCCTATTGGGTATTCTGAAGTTTAACAATCAATTATTGACAGTTTAATTACAAACCAGTTTTGTCATACATAATCCTGCTTAGGGCTTGCACTTTATTTAGACCTCCTTTACTATCAACTGATATTTTTCAAACAATATTTCAGCAGATATTGTAGGGTTTATTGAAAGAGACCGCCCAGGTTAGTGTGGACAAGACGCGCACATCATTACTCTATATATATTGCTCGTAACATATAGTTTGAATCATTTAAATGTAATATCAGCGAATATTTTATTACACAATTAATATATGATCAGTAGAACAGTGTAAGCTATAGAAAAAAATATAAATTGTCTAGTGATGAAGTCATCCTAGTTGCTGATGTTCACATTTTAGTAAATAAACGTACAACATATAATTGGTTTGGTGAATAAATCGCATGACCTTAATTTCATTTTGCTAGATTTTTCAGTAGTTGGCACACACATTCATGATCATAACTGTTTTTGCCTAAAATATATGCTAGATTTCTATAGTTCTATAAGATTGGATGTTATGTACATGTTCTATCTTACTCTTAACTTGATACATGTGTATGTAGGTCCTTTGAATAAATTTATTCTTAAACATGTTAAAGGTTATCAATCTACATGTAACATTGTATTAAGATCTTTCAATATTGTCTTTATCGGTACTTATATTGAATTTATTTTCAAAAGTTTAATACATAACTAAACATATATTGATATCCAGTTTTTAACACTTATATCCTGTCGATACTTATGTTTTGCATTGTACAAGATCATGTTTTCCCCAGACTGCTTTTCCCAGACAAAATTCGTTGCCAATGTATACTGATTGATATGTTAGTCTCAGACTGGAAAACAAATCTGTAATTTAGAATTAAATGTTATTGTTACCCCCATCCCCTTGTACATCCAGTTTGATGTAACTGTCTACTATCATTAACTGTGTTGTACTATACTTATTGTAAAATTAGATTTTACATCGATTAATGAGGATGGTAAAGGGGGTCTGAACACGGAAACACGTGAAATAAAAATCGCAAAAACGTTGCACGGAAATTAAAAATCGCTAAAAAACGAAGCACGAGAAATAAAATCCTTAATATTAAGGAAAAAAGTAATAGTAGTTATTACTCAGCGGCCGTTCTTGGAGATCATGCAGTCATTATTAATGGGCATAAAGACCCTGCAGTCACCTTTTATCGTCCGCTAGTTGCAACTGATTTGAAAGAAAAATATTATTCATAATTTGATAGCAATTAATATCCTAGGATCACATAATTAAAAAAATCACCGGACTGACTTTGAAATTATTCCCGGTTTACTTTTTAATGAAATGCGGGACAAGCACGAGAATATTAGGAGTACCGACACGAAACACGGAAAATAAATAAAGGGAAACACGAAGCACAAACGTCGAACCAAACACGAGAAAACGAGAAATAACACGTCAAAACACGAAAGCACGTGAAATAAATAGACCGAAAACGTTGCACGAAAATAACCCTTTACCACCCTCATTAATTCATAATGTTGTAAATATGATTGAATATCCGTAAGCGGCATGCCTGGCAACACCGAATAATGATTATTCAGTCTCTTATGATTGTGGCGTTTTATCTATTGTGTTATTTATTAATATGTATTTGCATTATTATTGCCCCTAACGGAGGCTATATAAAGATATAAGATATTTCTCGTATCACACTGCACGGAATGTGATACGAAAAATGCGTTAATTTGATTGGCTTATCCAGCATCATGACATATGATATAACGAATGCTCGTTCATTATTAAATGTATATTGAAATTAAATAACTCGTTATGAAACCTATATATTTATAAAGTACTGATAAATAATCTTAATCACATTATTATAATGATTCTGACGTTTCTAGTATTGAGGAAAGTATATGTATATGTATGGTGCCTTTCTGGAAAAAAGTCGCCCTTGTCGGTTAAAATGGTCAATATTATCAAACTCAGACCTTAATTTTCTCTAATAAGCAATGTTATTAAGAAAGAGTACATTCGCTATTTGATAAGATACCCCAAATATTCGACCAGCTTAAGCATGTTTGTTATGTCGTGTAATGTGTTTGTATTTTAGTAGTTCAGACAACAGATATGGTACCAATTTCATTGCACTTAAATTATATGTAAAATAAGTCTTCTACATGAATTTCTGAGATGTTTATATGCTCATAAATTAGTATCAATATTTGAACTTTATGACAGCCGTTTAATTTCAATTCTTATATAAGATATTCTTCAATATTTGTTAAAATAGCTCTCCCTAGTAAATATATTTGTCCTCTTTGTTCCCCCTTAATTAGAGGACAGATAGAACGAATATTTTAATCTATATTAAGAAACATTGAGGGAGATCTGTTATTCTTTTTTGAAAGCATTGTTGCTACTATTTCGTCCTCAAATTTGGTAAGTGACCAGTCCTTTAAAAACTACAAAATAATTTTCGTTGATCTTTATTGTTTTAGAAGGATATCCTGTCCACGAAAAGAGTACAGTTGCACCGAGGGAATATACTTATCCAGATATTCTTCATTTGCTGGGAGATTTTTACAAAGGAAGATCTTTGGACAAACAGGAGGATATTGCTTGAAATTACATGGAAACCTTATGGTTTAATGAATTCAATTTAAGCCTTGAAATTTTGTTATTATATAAGCATGTGGATAAATGAGCATGCTTTAAAGCAGAATAATATTTTTCATTGTTTGGTTGTTGTTAATGTTTACCCCACATCACCCTTTACTCATATGTCTATAATTCCAAAATCACGTGTTTTTCCTGGGAAAAAAATATGGACAGTCGAAAAGAATCAACCTAAAACACTTTAAGAATTAATTTTATATTGCATTAATTATTTTATATTGCAGTAATGATTGTATTCATGATCATACGATTACAATAGGATTGCTTACGACGAAAAAGCATATTTAAACCATATTAATCAAATTTAGAAATGTGGCTTATGTTAATTTCCCGGTAATACTTTGTGGTAAACAAATGATATCTCATATATACAACAGACCCTTTATAGAGCTTTACAAAACTTTAAGGCAACCCTGACCATCATTTAACGCTTCATGATGGTAACGTTTGAATGAAGGAAAAATTAAACGGTCAATAGAGGGACTGTACTTACTTATAGAATAGGACCAACAATCAATAATATATATGTATATAAAGATGCAACTACGTACTATATTCCATCACCCTACCATTAATGGATTGGCATGTTATAAATTAAACTACTTGAATACTGGATATCCGAAGAGGGGTTTTAACATGGAAATAGGAAAGGAAGGGGTGGGTGTGCTTGGTACTAAATAATGAAACGGTAAAACCGAATGACGTTGAGATAAAACTGCATTACGACAGAACGTATAAAGATGAAACTATAGAACGTAAAGCATGGTTGTTCTCTTTATACTGCAACTGTTCAAAATAAAATATATTAGATCTAGGTAAAACCACCAATTTATCGTCAGATCATATGTTTTCGTACGTCATATGAATTCGTACCATGCATGCTTTTTCAATGGATTTTGACGTCACAATGCATTCTACATAGCACGAAACCCCATAATATGAGGATGATACTTGTATAGTCGAGATTCGAAAGCATACGGAATATTTTACGGAGGGAACCAACCTAGGTAAAAGAATATTCTTGACAACTTTATATCGAACGCGACAAGCGATAGTCTTATAAGATCTTATAATCTGCGAAAGATAATGCCAAAGGCTGTTGCATTGCAAAATGACGTCATAAAGCGTATATGACGTCATTTTACAAGAACGAACTGACCAAAAGAAAAGACGTTCAGAGCAAAGGTACTGTAAATGTATAGGTAAATCAACAACTTTTATTAACTCAATCTAATCATATTATAGCCAAAAAATACCCTAACATAAACATTTGCAGGAAGATTGTAACTACTACCTTAGGCCAATTAGAGATATTTCGGCAATAATTTACATTATAAAAGAGAGGCGAGAGATACCAAAGGGACCGTGACTTTCAATGCTCAAGTCGAAAATAAACTGACAACGCCATGACTAAAAAAGAAAAAGACTAACAGAAAACAACAGTACACAAAAAAACAACACAGAAAACTAGACTGAGCAACACGAACCCCACCAAAAACTGGTGATGATCTCAGGTGCTCCGGAAGGGTAAGCAGATTTTGCTCCACATGCGACACCCGTTATGTTGCTCATGCTAGTAAGAACCTGGTGAGAAGTCTTATTCGGTAGATCACATTCGGGGAAAAGGGGACGGGATTGTAAACGACAATTGGAACATATCCATTGTCATCTGTGAAACAGATATTCCATAAAGGTCAACCAACTCGTTATGGCGTCCGTACAAATTACGAATGGATGATTCACCACTTGGAATTCATGATAGAAAATACAAGCACTGGAATATCGTATCAACTGGGAGAGATATATACTCCGTATACAGGCGCTGCTGAAATGTTGCTACATGCTAGAAATAGAAAGTTCACAATTGGGAAGCTGAAATCATCTCTTTTTATAACAATCTTTATTTTCGTCAAGCATTAGTACAGCTTGTGACAAACAAGATACAAATTACATAAAACATATATACAACTAATTTTATAACAACCAGTTAATCAAGAGTCCCTTGTCCTTAGTTCCATTGACCTCCCCACTTCAAGACGAGTTTCTAAATCGGTTGAGCATTTTCTTATACACACTGGGTATTTACACAAAGATAAATGGACTTTTTCAATACAGTATATAAATAGGTAATTTATCTGTAAAAAAATGGATCAACATTTTTGTAACTACAGTTTGCGCGAGCTTTAATTTGCTCTTATAAAAGACCGGTACGAGTCCATAATGCATATTTCAACATTATTTTAAGTTAATACAGGTCTGAAAAAGAGAGGCTGAAGATACCAAAGAATTACTAAAACTCATAAGACGGAAATGAACTGACAATGTCATGGCAAAAAAAAACACCACCAAAAGACAACTAGTAGTCTACAAATCACAACATAGAAAACTAAAGACTGAGCAACACGAAACCCGCTAAAACCAGGGTTGATCTCAGATGATCCTGACTACTGTGACGAATTAAACAAACTGAATTCCAATTAGATTGGCACATTAGCAATTGCTCGTATCGAGAGGATAAATCAAACATTCCTAGCTTCCTTGGCTAGATATGAGATTACTATAACTATATAATATGTTATAGTAGTCTCAGGCTAGTTCCATCAATGCTAGAATTCAGAATAACATATCTACTAAAAAAAAGACCCAACAAATCTATATTCTATAACATACCAATGAACTGATTTTTATATTGGATAAATGGCTTTTCTAATTTGCTGTATTTTTCTGAAATGTCATAGATTTTGTCTTCATAATGTTATCTGTTAAGTGGCATTTATCATACTATTGAGATAATAGAAGGCAATCTTTAGTTTCTGAAAGTAAAATTATGTCATCTGAAAAGAGTAGACTAAATCTACTAGTTTAAGTGGTCTACATTCTTCATTTGAAAATATATCATTCACATCATTTATATGTATATAATATATAATAAAGGAGTGATTGTGTCGCCTTGACGTATCCCTATGTGTATTTTAAAAAATGGAGAGTAAAAATTATCAAACTTAAAGTGACGATTCTGTGCTTGAAATCTGGTTTTGATAACTTGGTTTATACTTTTGCTCACTCCTAATTTAGCTAATTTGACAAGAAGGCCGTCTCGTCAAACATCTAACCAAATGCTATTTAAAGTCCATAAAAATGAATATGTTTCAGTTCGATTATTTGTACGCAAATATTTATTAATCAAAGTTTTCCATATGAACAAACTATCAGATGTCCTATGCCTTTCCCTGAAACCAAACTGAGAGACAGAAAATTTATTTATCATGAACATATTTATTCTATCATTCAGAATACTACTAAATATTTGAGACAGACATTTGATAAGGAAATACCTCTGTAGTTGACATAAAGTCTCTTATCCCCATATTTGAATATTAACATAATAAAGATTTAAATGTAATGATTTCATATACTATATTATAAAGCCCGTAGGCTTTACCTCTCTTGAGAATTGGTTTATCAGTTTCTAAATTTACAGACATGTCTTCCTCAATGATCTTTAGAGTTAAATGTTTGTGTAATCTCTATTTCTACGTTTCGTGTTGCCTAGTATGTGACATGTCTTCCTCAATGATCTTTAAAGTTAACCGTTTGTGTAATCTCTATTTCTTCGTTTCGTGTTGCCTATGTGACATGTCTTCCTCAATGATCTTTAAAGTTAAATGTTTGTGTAATCTCTATTTCTTCGTTTCGTGTTGCCTATGTGACATGTCTTCCTCAATGATCTTTAAAGTTAAATGTTTGTGTAATCTCTATTTCTACGTTTCGTGCTGCCTATATGTGACATGTCTTCCTCGATGATCTTTAAAGTTAAATGTTTGTGTAATCTCTATTTCTACGTTTCGTGTTGCCTATGTGACATGTCCTCCTCAATAATCTTTAAAGTTAAATGTTTGTGTAATCTCTATTTCTATGTTTAGTGTTGCCTATGTGACATGTCTTCCTCAATGATCTTTAAAGTTAAATGTTTGTGTAATCTCTATTTCTACGTTTCGTGTTTCCTATGTCAAACATCATTCCAATTTACGATTTTTAGACGTTCTTCATTTTTTTCGACATTATATTTGGTGATGACAATTTGTTTTTGGCCAATGACAGGATGGAGAGGAAAATTTGATAATTACGTTCAAAATCGGAAATTTATTTCGCGCGGCTCTCCGGCCTAGCAACAAATGAAATGAATATATTTCGTCTACAAAAAATCCTACTGTCTGTCTTTAATCAGTCTACATGTCACTAATGATGCCAGCCCGTGTATTTATATAGTTCGAATTGAAAAATGAGTCAAAGTACGGCCTACAACACGGAGCCTTGGTTCACACCGAAAAGCAAGCTGTAAAGGGCCCCAAAATGACTAGTGTAAAACAATTCAAACAGGAAAACCAACGGTCTAAATATACTACCGAAATTTACCCAAAGGAACTTACTTTATATAAATCTAACATAAATAGCAGTAGTTGTCCTTTTCTAGATTTAGACATTTCAATTTTTAAAAGGAAACTCCATACTAAAATTTACGACGAAAGAGACGATTTTTCATTCCCTATTGTTAATTTTCCCTTTTTAGGCGGCGATGTTCCTTTGGCTCCATCATACGGTATTTATATATCCCAACTCGTTCGTTATGCCCGTGTGTGTAGTGAGGGATTTCGTTACCATAAATTGCTTAAAACTTTTACTAAATTCTTTCATAGATACAAAAATTTGATTAGTAAATTTGTCGAAAACTTATTCAAAACGGTATTTCTCATCCTAAATTTCACGGCCAAATCTAAAAAAACTTGAAACGAGAAACACCTATGAACCACACCAGTGAACAACAGGCTCCTGTATAAGGACAGGTGCATAAAAATGCAACCGGTTTAAACGTTTTAACAGGCGCCAACCGTCATCCTAACCTGAGACAGTAGTGTAACATTACATCATAAAAAGACACACTATAAAATATCAATTGAAATGGCTTAACTCGACCAAAAAGAATTTAAACAAAAACAAGTAAACATACACTGAACAAATAAGTTTGATCTCTGACACAATATAATTACAATATTAAAACGT